ACCAACCAACCTAATATATCAATATAAATTGCCGTGACTAGGCGTGACTAGGCGTGCCTTCGGGCACTGCCCGAGGGGAGGGTTGATGGGGGGCAAGCCCCCCAACACCCCCGGACACATTCTCTCCACCACGGTATGTACGGCAAGACAGAGCTGCATTCACACCGTAAAATAATAAACCAAATACCTTTATATCCGGAAACGTGAAACTTTCGTTTCTTTGTACTGTTGGGATTGCTTCGATTTTAATCACCTTTTTCGTCCTTTGGAGCTCTTGATGGGCTCAGATATAAAACTGGGATGGTTACTGAAGTCGAATTATTCTTCGATGCCACTGTAAAGGTCTTAAAAAGAACCCAGAATCAACACAACACTGGAAACGCAACATTTCTCACCGGCTTTCAATCTCGAAATGAGCGGGTTGGTGAGCTGTCAACCTGTGGCTGGCGCAAGAAAGTGTGAAACACTCGATGCGCAGGATTCGATATGAGGGTATAGATAAATATAAAAATATGCAATTGAAGTATAATAACATTACTAAAAGACTTTAAAGGTATAAATGCGTACCAGCAGACACAGATAATTAGCCAAATATCGTTTTGACAAGCGCGTAATGATACACGGACTAGTTCGCGAACGCAAAAATGCGTTCGTGGGTCAGTGTCGTGTTTTTCCTAGCAAGGTAAACAAGCTCATCGACTTTGAATTTGAAAGGCGGCCGCGCGTTATATTTTCGTCATTTAGCGGTGACTATAAGGCCGGTGCATCTTAAACTATACGCTATCCCCTTCTATAAGATGGCGGTGTCCATTTTCCTCTATCTACGCGCGTCGCGGTCTTCAACCTCTACCCTTTTTCCTTATATGTGGCAATTACCATTCAGTCTGCACATTTCTTCTACCAACCACTGCAATGTTTTGTTCTCTACAAGGATATCATATTCAATTGCCCTAATGTAGTGCATCCATACCATAAAGATTTACCGGAAGAGTTACCATTTGCATTACACAACATTATGAAATAGTCATAAACAGCCGCTTCTGCCTCATATTTAAAGCAATATGACAAAAAATAATCAACTGCATATCAACACCCAGAGACTAAGTCAACATCACCCTCTATATCTCTACATTGCCTCAGTAAATTGGGCAATTTTTTTTAATACATCCACATAACAGATCATGATGATTGTAGTATCGTTGGATTCCTCTCAGTGTCTAGTTTCTAAATATATAGAAATTATTGCATAGAAACCCCCAAACACCCCACATTCTTGGCCCCAAAAGCAGGGTAGGGCATGAAAGGTACTAGGGAAATTACGGGGTAAAATGCAAATCATCTACACAGAATCAGTCACTGTGCCCCCTGCAATCCCCTATCCCCGCTCAGGAAAATAAAGAATCCTCCACATATTCACGGCAGGAGAGAGCGTCACACACTTGGAAAAGCCACTCCCACATGACAGTTGTACACTCGAGCCTGACATGAACACGTGGAGGATACTTTGTTTCCCTTGGCAGGGGTTAGGGGGTGGTAGCCCCCTGTGGGGGGGTCGCAGGGGGCATAGCCTCCTGCATTAGACAATATAGTGACTGATTGTGTAAATCATTTACATTTGATCCTCAATTTCCCTGCTACTCTTCATGCCCTCCCCTGCTGTCGTGGCCAAGAATGTGGGGGTTGGAGGGAGGCTTCTTTGCAATAAAACCTACATATTTGCATTGTAGACGGTGAGATGACTAACAACGAAAATTGTCGCAATTTTTATGCGGACATATCCCCAAAAATTACAATGACTCATATCCTCCCTAACAAATACCAAACAATTACCATCATCTTATTTTGCTGTAATGTAATATGATATCATCCAGCATTAGTAAGTTGTATGTTAAGTACAACCACAATGCATGATTGCAATTACTTCTCTCACTGCTATACAACCAATTACATCACAGAGAGGATATATAATTTTCCTTAAAATACAGCTGGCTCCCTGGCTGCTTCTACGTGTTGCCCAAATAATTACCTTGTTATCGATATGTCCTCCTGTCTTCCGTCACATATCCTCCCTATTTCAACAGCTGTACACAGAATTCACCAACCTACTTCTGTTCACCTTCTTTCTCTCCCCTTTACACAAAATCATTAAATTTTGGGATCTCAATCTCGTTTGTTTACCTGAGGTAGATTCTCCACTCGTTTCCTTCTCCTTCTCCTTCTCCTGGATCAGTTTTAGCTTTTTGGTCTGCGTCTTCTTGATCTTTCGCATCAAAATCTTATCTTTCGTTTTGGTTCCCATTGTGGAGAAAGCGTCGACGGAAAAGAGAAGAAAAAAGAGAAAATCCGAGTGCGATTTGTTGAGGTCTCTCCCCCTCGCACGTGTGTCTAGAAAGATCTAAAGTGTATGTTCTTATATCAGGATCGCATTATGGAAATTTCGGACAATTTTCCACTATGGTTTCTATAATATGGAACTAAATATATTCCTAAGGTCTAAAAAACGTATTTTGATCCAAAGCGAATATATTATGAATTTATCTATGCGTTTAGAAATAATAAATTCACTTTAACATAACTAGGAAATATGGCGTTCTTATAAATCTATCCTTCAATCCGCATGTGTTATATTCGCTGCTTGAGAAATTCAAGTATTGAGGAAAATATGCCAACCCATTATCATTACACATACGTTTACCTGATATAACCGTAATTAATACTGAACACTGATTTGGAATTCAGTAAGATAATCTCTGCATTCTTAAATTTGACTAAATGTCTGCGCACTTTTGTAAATGCAAATGTAAATGTGTGTAAGTTCACACACACACACGCGCGCGCGCGCAACACACACACACAAACACACACACACACACACACACACACACACACACACACACACACACACACACACACACCACACACACACACACACACACACACACACAACACACACACACACACACACACACACACACACACACACACACACACACACACACACACACACACACACACACACACACACACAACACACACATATATATATATACACATATATTTATATATATATGCATATATATATACATATACACATATATTTATATATATATACATATATATATATATATATATATATATATATATATATGTGTGTGTGTGTGTGTGTGTGTGTGTGTGTGTGTGTGTGTGTGTGTGTGTGTGTGTGTGTATACATATAAACATACATTTACATACATTTAATATATGTATACATATATATATACATATACATACACGCACATCGGACACACACACACACACCACACACACACACACACACACACACACACACACACACACACACACACACACACACACACAACACACAACACACACACACACACACAACACACACACACGCATACACACACACACACACACACACACACACACACACACACACAACACACACACACACACCACACACACTTATATACATACACATACACACATACACGCACACACACACACACACGCACACACACACACACACACACACACACACACACACACACACACACACACACACACACACACACACACAACACACACACACACACATATATATATATATATATATATATATATATATATATATATATGTATGTATGTATGTACATATATATATATATACATATATATTTATATATATTTGTATGTATGCATGTACGTATTCATTTATTTACTCATTTATATGTCTCTGTGTGTGTTTATGTGTACATATGTATATATGTGGAAAGGTATGAATGATAACGAATATCTTCACAATACGAGAGATGTATTTAACCATCTCTTGTATTGTGAAGATATTCGTTTTCATTCATACCTTTCCACATTTGCCAACATGAATACGGTTAAGTATATATATATATATATATTATATATATATATATATATATATATATATATATATATATATATATATATACATTCACATATATATATATATATATATTTATATATGTAATATGTATATACACACATATTTACACATGTTTTTTGTTTTTGTTCATTCATGTATTGATACATCGATGTAATATGTATAGACTGATAGAAATATACATTCCCACAACATACCCTGATCGAAAATGTAACATTTGGAACTCACGAAGAGTTCCTCATCAGGTGTTGTAAAATCCGTTTTGTTCCTTGCTCTGACTGATGAGGAACTCTTGACTTGTTCGAAACGTTACGTTCTTTTCATGCTATGGCAGTGCTTCTCTTTATCTGTGTGTCCATGTTGCTGTGTTTGTGTTCATATACATATGTATGTATATGTATATGTATATGTATATATATGTACACACACACACACACACACACACACACACACACACACACACACACACACACACACACACACACACACACACACACAACACACACACACACAATATATATATATATATATATATTATATATAATATATATATATATAATATGTATATATATATATATATATTTATTTATTTATTTATCTATCTATCTATCTATCTATCTATCTATCTATCTATCTATCTATCTATCTATCTATTATCTATCTATATATATATATATATATATATATATATATATATATATATATATATATATATATATATATATCATCCCGTTCGCACACTTGTGTATATATTTACCATATGTATGTCATGCATAATGCACACAAGCAATTTGTAATAATTATTTTTTAAGTTGTTTGGAATATACAAAGATTATTAAATTATTTTAACTTGGAATCTAAACAATCTAATAAAGAAAAGCTCCCGTAGCCCCTTGTACCCTGCATGTCTACATCGATACGCATCATATTATAAAGAATTTAATAGATATATTTCATGTCAAATATTTTCAATAAAGTAGCTATTTTTAATTGCAATATTTAAATTATCATCAACTGAATTTTATTATAGATAGAACGTTTTGGAAATTTTTCTCACTACAATTTAAACATTTCTCTATAACACAACTCGGAATGAGTAGAACATGTGTTCAGACCAAATAGATTGTTTACATTTGCGAAACATGCGTATTCCTTGGATTAGTATATTCCTCTGGTAAGAGAAAAAATAAATTTCCATTATTACAGTTGGATAGCGGATGTGTGAGCTATGGACAGATACTTAATAATGTTTAATGTCACAGTAGATTTGATACCATTTCTGAAAAGTAAAGAAATTGTATACTTCTCACGGTCATGATTTCAAAGATTTGCCGTGATAATCTTTGATAGATTCATTGTTTCAATTATATAGTCAATTTAATGAACAGTTTGTGCCGTCAATTCCATGTGATGTGTACTGAGTGGTTGAGGATTGTCTTATTAGCATAGCATTAGCCTCGTCTGTCTGTGCAGTATTTTTTTCAAGAATTCTGTTATAATGTTCCATATGATTTGGTATTGATGTAGTCTTCATGATGTCTAGTGTGCATTTATGGCACTCACAACTTAGATTGGCTCTAAGAATACCATGGCATGTATGTACACACCACTTATATACCAGTGGTTTAAGATGTTAACCTACTAATAAACTAACATCTGTATAAATCCAACTCTCTCTCTCTCTCTCTCTCTGAATGAAAGCTGAATTATTTGGTAATTGTTACTGGGAGGGACACTTTAAAAACCAGGGTATCATGCTAACCTGAAAACTGTAACTTCTTTTTTTCTATCTTTTCTTTATTCCCTCGACAGGGGCTTAGTCTTTAAGCGTTGATATGCTGCGGACATTTACAAATTTCATGGTAAAAATGAGCCCGCTTAAGCTGTACCTTTATTATGACTATTTCTTTTGCTGTATGAGATGGCGGTGTCCATTTCCGTCTTTCTGTATGCATTGCTCTGGGTAACATTAACTGGTTATTTTTTATTATTATTATGACAATATTTATATCATCAGAGTCATTTTCCTACAATGAGAACGAATCTGATGACCATTTATGTCACAATCACAGCTGACAGATGCGATAGTCCTGATAGCAAGGGAAAGTAGGAATTATATTGGGGATTATGGTGTAAAGCAGTCTAAGATAAGAAGAATATAGAAAAAAACTAAATCCCTATATTTTTGCTACATGTAGTGAATGATAACTATAGTGATTATTTGAAGAAATCATATTACATTTCTTCTCATTCTCCTTCACCTTATCTGTTTCAGAACAGAATACCTTGAATACAGATTAAAGTTGTTGCAGCTGACACAATGACCAAGTTAGCTGAAGGTACCAAACCAAAAAAGAACATCGTAAAGAAGAAGAAAATCAAGAATGCGGGAGATACGGTCATAAAAACAAATGGGATTAAAAAGAAATTGAAAAAAAAGAAGCACCCTGGCACACTGGAAGGTAAGTTCGTAAAAAATACTATTATTTGTAATGAAGATGGATTCCACCATTCCACCAATGATTAGATGTCCTTGATTACCGAGCATTAATAATTTGCTCCTTTTTATCAATAATTTTATTTTGATAGTATTCTATGAAAACATATAATAAGCTTGGTATCAGTTTTTTTATTTACTTTATTTTTTTACAAGTTCAGATTTTTCTTTCCCTGTGTTATTGGATTATGATGAAAATAGTTTCCTAAAGTGCAAGTCAGATGAGCCTCTTGAGGTGAAGGAATTAAGAAGAGTTATGTAAGGATAAGATTTATTGTTGGCAGTTTGATAAATAAGATAGAAGAGTAAATATTTGTGTACTTATAGTTGAAAGTGATGAAAGCGGTTTATGATCAAAGTCTTGATTATAACGTTGTTAATTTTTTTCGGATAAGGATCCTTTTTTCTCATTCCTTATCAGAATTGTTTTGTGATTGTAAGCATAGAGTGATTCTTACTCATATCAAATGTTCTCTAATCAGGATGTGAGAATGGAAGTGTACAGAAGAAAAAGACAAAAAAAATTAAGAAAAATGAGGATGTTGCTGAGGCTTTAGACCAGCAGGAAGATCAGGTTATGGATTTTGAGGAGGAAGAAGAGCAGGCAGAGAATTTTGTAGAGGAGGAAAAAGCAGAAGAGAATGATTTGGAAGAAGATCAGAGTGCAGATGAGGAGACAAAGGAGGAGAAAAAAAAGGAGGAGGAACCCAACCAAATGGGAAAACAGCTCTTTGAAGACCTAGAAGATCTGTCAGACATGATGAAAGAGAAACTGAAGGAGAAAGGTTTCAAGACTTTGACCAGGTTGCAGGAGAAGATCATCCCAAAGATCCTGAGTGGGGAGGACGTGCACGGGATCAGCAAGAGTCGGACAGGGAAGACCTTGGCGTTCATCATCCCCATTGTTGAAATGTTGAATAGGATTGCGGATACAGAGACTGGTGAGTGTTTGTGCCCAAGGAGTTCAGTTGATTTAGTTTATTATGAACTGCTGTATTTATCAACATTGTACCAACAGTATAACTGTCCATCCGATTTTTTATTCATTTATGAAGATATATAGGTTTATACTGTATATATGTTTATATATGAGTTTGTATATGTTTGTAAGTTTGTATGTTTGTCTGTATGTCTGTATATGTGTTTATAAGTATATATGTATATATGTATGTATGTATGTTATGTATGTATATATGTATATATGTATGTATGCATATATGTATATGTATGTATGTATATGTATATGTATTTATATATGCATATATACATATATATATGTATATATATATATATATATATATATATAATAATATATATATATATATATATATATATATATATATATATAATTATATATACAATTACATATATATGTTTATGTATGTATATTTATGAATGCAGAATTGGAATGTTTAATCCTTTTTTCTGTGGGTTCATATACTGTCTACAGTTATTTGTTTAATTATGTTTTTTCTTTTTTTTTTACACAGCTCCACAAGCGCTCAGTCAAAAAGGAGTCAGTTAAGAGGCCCAACAAGACCTCTCTTGATTTTGCCTTTTCTTGAACTGAAACATGTTTTTTTTCCTAATGCTGTTATTATTGATACAGTTGTTATTATTATTAGCATTATAATTATTATAATAGCAATAAAAAGAAAAACCTTTCTAAAAGTTAGTGAAAAGGGAAAACAGATGAGACTCCGTGGCAACTGTTTTTCTTTGTGAACCCATCTGTGTGTAGTAAACAAAGATCGCAGTGTAGATGGCATGTATGCCACGTCATCTCAGCACAAGTTAACCCTTATAAATATTCTTCCAGGTGTTGGAGCAATAGTTGTGTCCCCAAGTGAGGAACGAGCATTGGAGACACAGAAGGTTTTCCATTCCTTCGTATGTGACCTCCGCATCCGTGCAAGGTTGATGACATCAGGAGGAAGGATGGGTATCCCATATAATCATTATGGTGAGCACTTCTGAATTTTGGTTGTATTCATGGATTACAGATTGATATTTTGTATGGCATGAAGAAATTCTTTTTACCCCTTGGATCCTGATACCTCTCTGCTAATAGACTGTTTTCCTTGCACAGACTCCATATCATCTCTCTTTTGACTGCAACTCTGTGTAATAAGAATAGCAATAAGTAACAATTTATAATTCAGTTTTCTGTAAGACACCTGCCATGCTGTTCACTGCATACAGGATTAAGATCCTTACGTTCAAAATAATGTGTTCCATAGATATGATGTTCTTCCAGCCAGGCTATTTACTTATGCCCACTAAGTCTTGTCTTCCGCCAAGATCTTTGTGCACTCTTGGCAAGGTTTTCATTTCATTCAGCCTTACACCAGATTTTTCTATGCTGGCATATTCCCATCACTTGGTTCTTAGACAAACTTTCATAATAAGATGGTCATGTCATCCAGATCCAATGGGTTACTAAGTATTTTTTTTATGATATATTTATTGATTTGATTATAGATAGATAGATATAGATATAGATAGATGATAGATATTTATTTTGAATTATAGAGGATTCACATTTACAAAAACTATGATTTAATCCAACAAAACCATACCTTTCCATTTCAAGCTTTGAACATCATTGTGGGTACACCTGAACAGCTGCTGGAGGTTCTCCCCTTCAGACAATTCAAAATGCGCTTTTTAGTCCTGGACGACCCAGATTCCATAACTGGTATGGGTGCTACAAGGATGCTGAAGCAGGTCTTAAATGTGATACCAGGTAGGGGCTTGTTGCATGTGCCTTCACTGCTAAATTTTTCACATTGTTACATTATAGATGATTTTGAAATTGTTTTAAAAGTATTACTGCTACAAGGAGATGTAAGATGGAGTCATGCTAAGGCTGGATTTTGTTCCTCAGAACCCAGGCATACCTTGCTGTTTAGCTCATCCAGCAACGCCAACATGCAGTCCATTGCAAACTTTACACTAAAAGCCAACCCCGTGGAAAATATCCCAAGTGACTGGCAGATGATGGAACCGGATGAACGTGTGCAACAACAGCAACAAGTGACACAACCTGAACATGTGCCAAATAACCTCGAGCAAGGTATATCTGTTTGACATGATATGTGAAGGTTTGTACATATCTTGAGAACTCAAGAAAGTGAGACCCAAAATTATGTGCCAAATATGAGTAAGAGTGAAAGTGAAAGAGTAAGAGAAAGAGAGAGAGTGAGTGTGAGTGTCAGTGTCTGTATGGTAACACTCATAATATTTGTGATTCTATTTCTTAATGTAATAATGCTATATTTTGACTCATCTTTTAGTTTCAAACTTTTGATTATTTGTAGCTAAAACTCTTTGAAAGTTTAAAATCCATATTTGTGGCTTATTAAGATATGTGCATCCATATGTGAAAATAGATATTCACATTCTTGTTTGTAAAAGTTTAAAAATTAACATACTGTCAACCTCTAATTGTATTATTATTAGTGCTATTTTTATAAATAATGATGAAATCTTCACAACTTTGGTTATTCATATGATAGAAATTATGATTATAAAATGTTATGCCCCAAAAACTTGTTCTTTTCAGTTGCGCTAAGCTCCCATTATTTTAACTTACACAGTTGTGTAGAGAGAGATAAGATTCTGTAATTAATATTCCTGTATTTTTGCAGTGTACATCGTCTGTCCGACAGACAAAAAGTTTCAAGTGTTGTTCTCCATCACTTTGAAAAACAGAAGAAGGAAGGTCATGGTTTTCATGAGAGACGACAAGGAGGTTGAATTTTATGGCTATCTGTTCTTCAAGCTGGGACTGCCAGTTCTCTATTTACGCGTAAGTTGCTACTGTTCTGATTCTCTTTGTGTTGATCTTTGTTTCCTGGATTTTTTATTTTTTGTTTGGTAATGCAGAAATTAATAGTGGTGTTGCACATGAGGGGATTGTCTGGGGGGATTTCCAAAATGAACCCATGTAGACCAAACTCCTGTACAGGAATAAGGGTTCGTGATATTGAAATAAGTTTAGGTAGACTGGTAGAATATGAAATTGTTTCTTTTGATAAAGCAAAGAATGAATTTACTTGCAAGAGAGATTGAATGGCAAAATAATAGAAAGACAATGTTCAGTCTCGCTTCAGTAACTTCTAATCAAATGAATATGTAAAAAAAGATAAACCTCAATTCCCACCTTTGACTTAGGTCAGTTTAGAAATTTCAAATTGTGTGTTTTTTAAAGTAATTTCTAAGGCAAAATGCATTACAAATTACTTTTTTCTTTCTTTTAAAGATTCCCTATAAAATCCTACGATCAACTCACAGATTGGTTGAGTAATAGCATTCGAAGAAAAGAACTGAAGTTTGTAAATTTTTTTCCCGTAATTTCCAATATCATTTAGACTTGTATTATGTATCAGGCCAAAATTGTTTTAAGGAAATTAATTGATTACTTTTCAAAATGTTTAATAAATTGCAGAAATGTGATTTTCTGTCACATAGAAAGTTTATATATGTAATGTATTCATGTAAAATGTATTAGATATGCATGAATTTATTTCCTGAAAACAATTTGCCCTTCCCTTTTGTGAAGGGGAGCTTAGATAAAGGCGAAGGGAAGACTATAAATTTGATAACTGCTGCTTCTGCTGTGACAAGTAATTTTATCAGTAGGCCATTTTTGGTTATTATCATGTTGCAGTACCATCTAGAATGTATTGCAGCTCATATCTATGGAAGTTACTAACTCCTCCTACTAAACATTTCTTATGTTATATATATCGGCCAATTGGAAGGCGAGGAGCTGGTTGAAAAAAACACCATTCACTTATTTGCTACACATGCAAAAGCACACCTAGACACAGACACAGACACTGAGACACACAGAGACAAACAGACAGAGAAAGATAGACAGACAGACACAGTCACAGAGATAGTGAGAAACAGAGAGATTGAGAGAGAATGTTCTTGTTTACAGGTATCTATCTATATGTTAGAGGAAAGAAACATCATATGAGCATTCATCCATCCATCATTAATGCTTGTTCTCTCTTTCTCCTCGGCCAGGAATCACAAGATGAATATAAACAAAAGAAAAGTATATTTATGTTCAAAAATACCAAATTTGGGATCATGTTGTGCACAACTGATATCATCAAGGGACACTGCTTTTCCAGAGTGGATTTAGTCATACAGTATGACCCTCCCAACACTGTCAGGTATGTATGAGCATGACATGGTTGGATCAGCAAGTTGTGAATCAGTTAGACTTTCTCTGTGATATATTTTCAGTACAGAAGTCAATTTGATCTTTAGGTACTGATTAGCAACCTGTATGTAGGTTGTTTATTACAACTTGAAGAGTAGGTTGACTTGTATTCTGTAGTTCATTTCTTTTTTGTAGATGAAAAAAAAGACTGAAAGACAGTCCATGTTCTTAAATCATTCCCCTTTTCTTCAGTGAGTACTGTGAGCGCATTGGCAGAGTTAGCCGAGCGCCCGATAGCTCAGCCTTAATGCTGATGATGAAGGAGGAGAAGAAGTTTGCTAAAACCCTTAAAAAGGAAAACATAAAGTTGAACAAAATCAAGGTGACTTGCCTCGCAGTTGAGGATATTCAGCAAAAGGTATGGGTCCTTTTTTTTTTTTTTTTGCATCCCAATCACTCATCTTAGTGTTTTTGTTTCTCCATTGTCTTATTATGCTTGTTTCACTATGACAGAGCAAAGATTACGATGTTGATACTCTGAATCTATTCATGCTGGGAGCCTCCACTGCCTTACTGAATGACACATCAGGGTGCATGTGGAGTCAGAAGCACAGGAAACATAAGATTACCCTGCTCTTTTTTTCCCTGTGGCATAGACCTTTGTTTAAGTAATGAGGCCATAAGCCCACTTCTAAGTGCCTATATCTCCTTAGCAAATGCAGCCAGGGCCAAACAAGCACACAGCTGACTAGCGTGCACAACTTTTAGCAGGCTTGACCACACTTAATGTAAAGACATCATCCTGGCATGAGGAGAGGTCTGCCTTGACATGATACGACATCATCCTGGCGTCCCAATAGTGCTGATATGTTGATTAAGTGTTCTATTCTTTAGTTGCCTATTCATTTGCTTTGAGATTATAACCCTATTCTTGTTTGTTGTATTTTGTAGTGACTTCTGTTTCAAAAAGATAAAGAGAAAACTTGTTCTTACCAGATTATATCATATTCTATTATTCAGAGGAGTTAAATCTTACAGGATATGCAATATTATTGTGACTTTTCTAATATTTACTCTCACTAGTCTGTAGGTGCATATAATATACCTGTTTGTTTCTTATTCATTTTGCCTCTCTCACACCCCTTTCTATTTGTCTTCTATCACTTCTTTTCTTCTTTCGTTTTCTTCTTCTTCTTCATCTTCATTGTCTTTTTCTTTCTTTCATTATTATTATTATTATTATTATTATTATTATTATTATTATTATTATTATTATTATTATTATTATTATTATTACTATTATTATTATTATATCTCTTCTTCCTCTTCTTGTTTTCTCTCTTCTTCTTCCTTTTCTTCCTTTTCTTGTTCTCTCTCTTCTTCCTTTTCTTCTTCCCCTTCCTCCTCCTCCTCCTCCTCCTCTTTTTTTCCTCCTCTCCTCCTCCTCCTCCTCCTCCTCCATGATTAAGCAATAATATTTTATTACAGATTATACAGTTGATGAGGGAGAATGAAGTGTTGCAGGAAAAGGCAATGGATGCAGTGCCGGATTATATTAAGTCATCGGAAGAATTTCTCAATAACACCCTGAAAAATCCAGAAAAGTTAGACCGAGCCAAGGTGAGATCTTGTTGTTGATTTAAGAGGAAGTGACATGTAATTTGACATTGATTACATATGCCTGTAATTACCCCTATCTATTAGGAGTAATATGGGTTTATATACTTATACTGTGTGTGTATTGTATGTTATATGTTGTCCATTTGCTTTTCTCTTCATTGCAGGTTTTTATGAGCTTTGGTTTGAAGGCCTCTATGCGTGCACAGATAATGAAAAAGAAGAGAGAAGAAGAGGAAGAAAAAGCCAAAGAGGAACTGGAAAGATCAGAAAATGAGAGGAGAGATGGTCAGTCGGGAGATGATGAGAGAGGCGGTAGAGGAGGAGGAGGAGGAGGAGGAAAGCCAGATTTTGGTAGAGGGGGCGGTAAGGGAGTTAGACGATTTGATTATGGCGAAGAAGAAGGTAAGGGTGTTAGACGATTTGACTACGGCAAAGGGGGTGGTAAGGGAGGCGAACGACCAGAGTTTCGCAGAGGGGGTGGTAGTAGAGGTGGACGACCAGGCTTTGGCAATAGGGGCGGTAGAGGTGGTGGACGACCAGACTTTGGGAGTAAGAGAGGTCGGGGTGGTGGACGTCCAGATTTTGGCAAGGGGGGTAGTAGGGGAGGTGGTAGGGGAGGAAAGCGACCATCATTTGGTGACAGGTGGTAGAACTTATCAACATGAAAGGGAAGGAAAGAATTCAGAGAATATGTACATTTTCTATTCCTTTCTGTAATATAAAATATCTAATAATTTTAAGTTTCTCTTTTATTCACCTTTTTGATGGAAGTAGACCATATATAGGCTTCCAAACAAAGTAATGAATAGAATTTATTATTTTTATATAATTTTAGATATCAGTCAATTTCTATAGGTTCTGAGAGAGAGCAATTCAATATTTAGATTGTTAGTAATGTCCTTCAAAGAAATAGAGGTCAAAATATATTTTTTTGAATGAAAATGTTGAATGTTGACAGCATGTCTACACTGAATATTATTTTTCTCATGCAAACCACAAAGCAACCTATGTGCTCCATAAATTTATCTGTAAAGAATTTAAAAGGTGTTTTTGGACTAATTATCAGAAAATGCATTAACATAATGTTTTATTGGGTTAAACTTTAATATGTA